CCCCCCCCGCCCATTGGTACAACAGTGTATACTCGTTACTCGTGATCACCCTTCGGTAAAGCCGCACACGAGACACTCGGCTAAAATCCTGCGGGCACCAACTGACAGGACAATTGCGAAATGTTGATTTTCAGGAGATTGTTATCCGGATTTTTGTAATTGAATTTTAGGAGTAATGGAGTGCTGAGGGGATATTAAATAATGGGGATCTGCGGTTGGATGGGTGAGCTATGGAGGGTGATAATTTAATGTTGAAGGGTGATAAATGTCGGGGAGAATAAATTGTGGAAATGAGTTCGATTTAAAATTGAAGGCTTTGGAATGACAAGAATGATATTCTTGATTTAATGGTGCGTTTTATTCTGTGTCGAACCGAGTGAGGGTTGTGAGTTCAACTCTAACGTCCGACGATTTTTCGCATTCTTCCAAATTCATATTTCATTTTTTTAAATTATTAATTCATATTGCATTCATTTCTAAAAAAAACAGAAATCAAATTTATTCTTCAATCGATATTCTTAATTGAATTATTCACCTTCCTCTGTATTTCTTCTGGTATAATTCAATATTTTTAATTAAATGTTATAATGAATGAGGTGATCGCGCATGAAATAATCCACCGCTTCAATTTTCCCAACACACATTGTTATATAATAAACGAATAATTATGCAGATATCGGTTATCTGGCTAACATTTACCTCCATACCGGCAGTGAATCACAATGACTATCGGTGCTAACGTTGAGAGACAGGGGCGGCAAATTACGCACATGTGTGTGTGTCTCTGATGCTGGTAACATTTGCCGGAACCCATTTCCAGCGTAAACCAAAGTTATAGATACTTNGATACTTAAACACGATCGACTTCCCCCCTCCCCCTCCCCCTCCCCCTCGACCGCCGCGTGTATGAGACTACATACGCGGTCTCGGCATGCGCGTAGAAAGTCCGCCCACCGTATGACACGATCCCTGTCGCTTCTCGCTCCTAAGGAATATACGGAAACAATTTTTTTTTTCGTAATTTTTACTGTAACACTTTCCCATGAAATTTCGGCCGCGTTTTTCGGTCATTACTTTCCCTGGAAATTTTCAACAAGTTATCGCTTTGTGTCTCAAATTAAGACATGAAGACAGGCATTCTGGACATTTTGGGGGTCTTACTCGAGGATTTTTTGTTTCAAACTCACGATGGCTCATTTTTTTTTCTAAACACTTCATTTATTTTTTGAAATTCACTGAAGACGATCCTCGCTTGCGGATTACGTGAAATGTTCCGTAATTTTTCTTGAATATTTCTCTCCGTGTGGACAAAAAACCTCTCATTTCGAGACATTCGAAACTCCCCCAAAATTCAACAAATTCGACG